GTCTTCTCTTCACTTTTCTTTTTTGTATATCTCTATAATTATGGAGATTCTACTGTTGGTAAGCTCTATTAACTCTACAGTCATGAGACTATTGGATCAATAGGTACAGGGTCTGTGAGATCATGAGGAGAAGACATTTTATCGCATGGGTTGGTGCAAGTATAATTAGAGGCATGGGTGTGAAAGAGTCTGTAAAAAGCCAAAACATGAAGGAGCACATGGAAGCAAGAACCTAGAGGAGCTGAAGCCTATTGGTAGGCAATATCAATGAGTTCTCATCAGTTCAGAGAAGCAAGACCATGGAGCTGATTGCCTAACTTGCAGGAAGGAGCAAAGAAAAGACATCATTTTTGAAAGAGGAAAGATGGCATAGGAAAAGAGTAGGATGGCAGAAACCGAGGAACTGGACTATCTGGTGGTTCATGTAAGTTGGTGGGTATTTAAAGGCACAGGTGCATTTCGTTTTGTGAGAAAGGGATGACTTGACTAATGAAGAGAGATAGGCATGTCCATGAGGATCTGTGTGACAATAGAATAGAGCATGAAATTAAATAGAAATACCAGGGAACTTAGTGAAGTTACAGAGAGCTGAGAGTGTGTTTTTGATGGGGAGAATTGGGTCTGCATTGTTGAGGGAACTAGGTCAGGAGGAGCTAAGGAGAAAACACAAGTTATCAACACCTTTTTATATTATCATTATTATTATTATCTTAGAGAGAATTTATACTTCTTTAATTAAGATTGATTTTTTTAATGATCTAACTTTGAGTTTTATGCATGTTTAAAAATTGAGACCTCATGTACAGGATTTATAAATATAACAAAGCCCACACCAAACTACCAAAAATTCAATCTTAAAGGTCCAAATTTTAGAAGTTATCTATGGAAAAATAATATTTTATAGACTTTACATGTTATTGATTTCAGAACTGGGTACCACACACCAGTCATTTCTCATGAATCAACAGTAACCTAAAGCTGTGAGCATTCTTTCTTCATAATACCTGGGCTCTACATTTGTAAAATTTTGCTATTTTTTCCTAATCTGACAATACTGTATTATAATGCCCTCAGTATACCAAATAAGGTGGAGTGTTGTCTCTGCTCAAAAACATATTAAAATATGACTTTGAATTATATTCCAAATAAATAATAAATATTAAATAATTCTTAATCTGTTCCCTACTCAATTTTGTCTCTCTCATTTGCTATAGGCATTCATACGTTTAATACTTCTACCACAAAACTCATTATACCACAGTAGGAAATAAAAAACAAGGCCTCCATTTGTTCAGGAAACCAGCCCAGACCTGACCCTGCACCTCTGGCTCAGATTCCTAATCCCAGATTCTCATGCCTCCCATTCAGTATTTTCACTAGTCAAATCACACTAACCAAGGAGTAATGTGAGAAATTTCATTGTTGCTTGTATAATTTTTAATTAAAATATTTTTAATATTTTTATTTTTTTTTTGTTGAAAAAATTTCTGCCTCCTCTCCACCTCCCATTTTCCTCCCCCTCCTCCCACTCCTCTTCCCCTGCCCCACTTCACTCCCCACTTCTCTAACCTTCCCCAACTCCATTCCCCCTCCCTCTCCAGTTGGAAGAGCAGTCAGGGTTCCCTGCTCTGTGGGAAGTCCAAGGATTTTCCCCCTCCATCCAGGTCCAGGAAGGTGAGCTTCCAAACAGACTAGGCTCCCACAAAGCCATTTCATGCAGGAGGATTGAAACAGTGCCATTGCCCTTGGCTTCTCATCAGCCCTCATTATCCGCCTTGTTAAGAGAGTCAGATTTTATCCCATGCTTATTCGGTCCCAGTCCAGCTGACCTTGGTAAGCTCCCAATAGATCAGCCCCACAGTCACAGTGGGTGGCTACACCCCTCGCTGTCCTGACTTCCTTGCTCATGTTCTCCCTCCTTCTGCTCCTCATTTGGACTTTTGAGCTCAGTCCAATGCTCCAATGTGGGTCTCTGTCTCTAGCTTCATCCATCGCCAGATGAAGGTTCTATGGTGATAAGCAAGACATTCATCAGTATGGGTACAGGATAGGGCCATTTCAGATTCCCACTCCTCAGTTTCCCAAGGTACTAGCTGAGGACATCTCCTTGGACACCTGCAAGCCCCTCTAGAGTCAAGTCTCTTGCCAACCCTAAGATGAATCCCTTAATTAGGATATATACTTCCCTGTTCCCATATCCACCCTTCCTTTATGCCAACCAATCCATTTCCACAAGCTCCCCCCATCCTCCCCTTCTCTCTTTTCTCACCCCATTTCTCTTCACCCCCATCCCACCCCAGCCCTAATTTCCCAGTTTTTGCCCGGGAATCTGGTCTACTTCCCATATCCAGGCGGATGACTATATGTTTTTCTTTGGGTTCACCTTCTTATTTAACTTCTCTAGGATCACAAATTATATGCTCAATGTCCTTTATTTAAGGCTAGAAACTAATTATGAGTGAGTACATCCCATGTTCATCTTTTTGGGTCTGAGTTACCTCAATCAGGATAGTGTTTCTATTTCCACCCATTTGCATGCAAAATTCAAGATGCCATTGTTTTTTACCGCTGGGTAGTACTCTAATATGTTTATATTCCACACTTTCTTCATCCCTTCTTCCATTGAAGGGCATCTAAGTTGTTTCCAGGTTCTGGCTATTACAAATAATGCTTTTATGAACATAGTTGAACAAATGCTTTTAGCATATGATAGGGCATCTCAAGAGTGGTAGTACTGTTCTTGGGGTAAGTTGATCTGGAATTTCCTGAGAAACCACCACACTGATTTCCAAAGTGGTTGCAAAAGTTTGCATTCCCACCAGCAATGGATGAGTGTCCCCGTTACTCCACAATGTCTCCAGCAAAGGCTATCATTGCTGTTTTTGAATTTAGCCATTCTGACAGATGTAAGACGGTATCTCAAAATTGTTTTGATTTGCATTTCCATGATCACCAAGGAGGCTGAGCATGACCTTAAGTGTGTTTTGTCCATTTGAATTTCTTCTGTTGAGAATTCTCTGTTCAGTTCAGTTCCCCATTTTTTATTTGGGTTAATTAGCATTTTAAACTCTAGTTTCTTGAGTTCTTTATATATTTTGGAGATCAGACCTTTCTCTGTTGCAAGGTTGGTGAAGATTGTCTCCCAGTCAGTGGGTTGCCTTTTTGTCTTTGTGACAGTGTCCTTTGCTTTATATTTATGTACACAACAATATCCTCCCTCATTTTCTTCTCATATCCAAAATTCACTATCTCTAAAATACATTAATTCTTCAACTTAAGTTAACCTTTAACAGTTTTACTCTTTTCTCACTGTCCGTCTTTCTTTTTCTGTTTATGCTTAACATATTGAGCTTCATCATATTTACATATATAACATGAGTCTAATGCAGTCCCTTGGGATTCAATTACCTATCAAAGAGCTTCTTTGTAGAAAACTTATTCTCTCAAACTCAACAGATATTGATAACCTAAGTTCTTCCTTTAGAAGTGGAGAGCCTAGAGATTTCATTTTGTACCCTGGAAATGTATATTACACAAAGATATTGTCAAGATACCAGTCATGTGTAGAAAATATGATCTTAGAGAAAAATCCTGCTACTGAATATTTTACACTTGTTCTGTCCCATCTTCATGACATTTCCTGAGCCTGGGGTGTAGGGTTTCCTTTGAGAATGTATTAACTTTACTTGGGTGTGACAGTGTCACTTGTTCTTTGTAAATTGTTATGTTTCCACCTGAACCAAAAAGCAAAACCCTTTAATGAAGGTTTTAGAACTTTTATTTGAGGGTATAAGTATGATATTTAAGAATGCAGGAGAAAAAAAAATACTACTGTTTTGGTACAGAAGGCATGTGGAAGAAAAACTCTGAAAAATCATACCTGCCTCTGAGCGCTAAGAAGCACAAACTTTGAAGAAAAGAGGCCTACCTGCTAAATAAGAACAACTTCTACCCAACTCTACAGAGAAACATGAACATGGTGAAGATTCCTTAAGATGGGTAAAATAACAAAAACGATATGTGGGCATGTAGGATATGGTCTCAGGAAGCAAATACACTGTGGAAGAGGAAGAAGCTGGACTAGCTGGTGGTGAAATTCAACCAAGTCTCTAAGGGCCCAAGTGGATCATTGAACGTGAGTGAGTAGACTTAGCTGATGGTGTGAAAATGGCAAATAATTGAGGTACCAGGGAGTAGAAAGATGTGGCATAGAATAATATAAGCCCGCTGGGGTTTTTGAGAAGTCACCAAAGTACTGGGATTAGCTTTGTGATGGGGAAGAGAAGGTATCTATGGTTGGTGTGAACCATTAGACCAGGAAGAACTAAATGGAAAACATATCTTCATGATGTGTTTTTATAATTGTTCAAAAGTAATTTCAGATAGTATTTATATGTATGTAGTACTTCTTTCTTTTCAGGGGATAAGCAATCTTAGAGATTTCAGCATCATATACTTACTATACTACTGATTATAATATACAAAATGGCAGTTAAGGGTTTTACAAATATAATAAATAAGAAAATAAGCCTGATAACTTATATTAATGTACAAAACCATAAACTCATACCAAGCAAATATTTTTTTGTCTTTTTTTCTTTTTTTCTCAATACACCATTTCATATCGATAATTATCACCCCAAACCTATGATTTTCCTGAATGAATGGCTTGGCTACCATGCAAAAATTGGAATGAACACAGGAGTTTCAGGCATGGAAAACATCCTACACCAACTGAGCTGTATCCCTAAGACAATAAGTGATAATTTGATCCTATAAATGCTAGGTTAGTGCTTATTTTATTTCAGACATCTGTACCAAAAACTGTCTCCTCTAAGTTGGACATCACTCAATTCCTTATATATCATGAAGATATGCAAATAATTTTCTCGTCTGCTTGTTAAAACTAGCCATGACTCTACATGTCTGACAGAGGCACCCAGGTCTGCACTCACAAAACCTCCCATTTTGTTGTTAGACCTGAACTCAGAACATCTAAGATGGACGTGAGGCTGAGCTTGATTTTCGTTTTTGCTCTTTTCAAAGGTAATGTATAGATGAAGAGAGATCCTAAGTATTTGGGCACATATAAGTGTGAATGACAATGGACATTTATGGTAGTTTTCTGACAAGATTCTCTGTGTTTACAGGTGTCCAGTGTGATGTGCAGCTGGTGGAGACGGGGGGAGGCTTGGTACAGCCAGGAGGGTCTCTAAAGCTCTCTTGTGCAGCCTCTGGATTCACATTCAGTGACTCCTGGATGCACTGGGTCCGCCAGGCACCAGGGAAGGGCCTAGAGTGGGTTGGTAGAATTAAACACAAAAGTAATAATTATGCAACACAGTATGCAGCATCTGTGAAAGGCAGATTCACCATCTCAAGAGATGATTCCAAAAGCATGCTCTACCTGCAAATGAACAGCGTAAGAGTTGAAGACACTGCCATTTATTACTGTACTATAAACACAGTGAGATGATTTCAGTGTGAACCCTGACACAAATCTCCCTGCAACAGTGCCCAGAACCAGCAGGGGGCACAGAGACCACATGAGGCAGTGCAAGGACAGGTACAGACAGAATTCAATGCTCCTTTATATGGCCCATCTACTGATTTCACATAATGCTTTCTGCATTTATGTTGTAAAATCTGTAATAACAAAGTCCTGTTTTGGTACAATTTCAAGTATATAAAACACACAGTTTAACATAAATTACTTGTAAAAATAATCACCTTTGATAACAGAAATGACTATGGTGAGGACATTAGGATCAAATGCTATGGAAGGTGAACAGTATTGGGGAAGATTTCCCTCCTGAGATTCAAGGACTCAGTGGTATTATGAATAGGACAATGTTGGGATCTTGGTAATCACAAGGAAGGAGACACAACACTAAGGGACTCACATACAATCACATGTCTCAAATCTTCTATTTTCCCTGAAATCTGTACACACCAGGCACACATACATTGTGTGTTTTTAATTTCACTTGATTCATTTACTTAAACTTGAAGTTTCATCACCATATCTTCCATTATTTTTATGTAATTTCTTGCCTTTGTTCTAAACAGAATGAGACACTTACTTGGAGTTCAGCTGAGGCCTAGGCTATATGAAATTCTGTGAGATTTGGAGAGGATTGATAATGAATGAAAAAAAAGAAAAATTAAAGAAACATGAATGGTACCAAGTATGGTGGAGGAGAAAATTTATTATAGATATGTGGTAGAGCATAACCAGAGACAAGGTGTCTGGGAGAGTCCAGAGTGAATATTACCCTGAGCAATGTGAGAAGCGGATGGAGCGATAAGGTACAGGAGAAAGGGAACCATGTAAATCAGTCAAGAGGCCCAAAGGGGAGATGAAAGGCCCATGTGATGAAAATAGTTGGATTATACAAAGAAGAGCAGCTGGGAGAGGATAGCAGAGCCCCAAGGATGCAATATGTAAGGTAGGTGAAATGAAATGCCCACCACAAACATCCTGTAAATGGTAGGAACTGAAGGACACAGGATGAATATATTGGTCACACTCTGTTTTGGCATTTTAAATGGTCACCTCAGCCACTTTTCCCAGCTTTTAAAGCTAGGATCCCAGGCTTATGTTAATAATAAATAAATGACAAAAAGCAGTGTGCAACCTTGTCTATGACTACTTCCTGATGACATCAAACATCACGCATGTTGGGTGGGGATAAAGGAAACTGGCATGCTGGTTTAGGTCAGAAATAGCAGTCTGTTCATTACCTGACCAGGTTCTGAGAAAAATGCTAGGAGTAGGGACATGTGAATTTCACTTGGAGCAATTTCTGAGGCAGGACTACTTGGGAAAACATAATTAAACTGATCCAAGAATGCAAATTGTGAGGAACATTGGAAGCTATTTGATGGAGCAATATGCATTTGATTTTCAATATAATACAACAAATAAACTGGGGAGAAAAAGTAAAATATGGCACTTAGGGAATTCTTTATATGTCTGAAAATTCAAACATTTAGGCCCATATACCTGGTAATTGAGAGTTGGGGAAACCCAAGACCATGGAAGGCAGAGAATGAGAAAGAGTGTGTGAGAAAGATACAGATCACAATCCGAAGACTAGGGCAAATAAGCAGGTGTGAAACAGGTTGTTTATTTACAGTACTTATCTAGAGTCCTTTTGGCCGGTAAGAGGTGAACCTAAATCCATACATTGAAGCAAATGAGCATTTTATTATTTGGGGATTGCATTGAGTTTATAGATTGCTTTTGGTAGAATTGCTATTTTTTCTATGTTGATCCTACCCATCCAAGAGCATGGGAGATCCTTACATTTTCTGGTGTTCTCCTCAATTTTTTTTCTCAAAGCCTTATAGTTATTGTTAAATAGATCTTTCAATTCCTTGGTTAGTGTTACCCCAAGATACTTTATGCTATTTATGGCTATCGTGAAAGGTGAAGTTTCTCTGATTTCCATATCTGCTTCTCTATCCTTTGTGTATAAGAGGGCTACTGATTATTTTGAGTTGATCTTGTTTCCTGCCATCTCACTGAAGGTATTTATTGGCAGAAGGAGTTCTTTGGTAGAGTTTTTGGGTCGGTGATGTGCACTATCATAACATCTGCAAATAACGAAAGTTTGACTTCTTCCTTTCCAGTTTGAATCCCCTTGATCTCCTTATGTTGTCTTATTGCTATTCCTAGAACTTCAAGTACTATGTTAAAGAGATACAGTGAGAGTTGACAGGTGATGCACCAGGAATGGAACAAATGCTCACTCCAATCCCCTAAATTTTCTGGCCATTCAGCAGGGCTTATCCCCAGCTACTCCCTTTCCCTACTTTTCCCAATCCAGTTTGCCCCCCCCCAAGCAATTCTTTCCATCTGTGGCATCCTTAGATCAACCACAACAGCCTACTTCAGGGTGGAGAGGATCTAAGAGCCAATTCCAGTGCTAAGGGGTTCTAAAAGAGGGGAGACCAAGAATAACCACAAGTACACAGCCACAGCAAAGATTGGACCAAGCCACCAGGACTCTCCTAACAGCATTTAAAGGAAGAGAGGGCCAGGTGCCAATGCAAGAATTCCTCCAACATTCTGAAAAACAACATTATTACACCAGAATCCAACAAATATACAATAGGAAGACTTGAACACCCTAATACAGAAGTAGAAGAAATAGACTTTAATACTAACATTGAAAGTGTTTGAGACCATTAAACAGTATGTGAAAAACTCTTCTAAAGAAATGGATGAGAAGTCAAACAAAAAGTTAGAAGAAATGAATAAATCTCTCAGAGATCCACAACAAAATCAAGAAAAAGCAATCAAGCAGGTAATTGAAACAGTTTAAGACTTCAAAAATGAAATGATGGCAATGAAGAAAACACAAACCAAGAGATGGCAGAATATGGAAAATCTGGGTACATGAACAGAAACTACAGAGACAATTAAACCAACTGACACAAGAGATAGAAGAATCTCAGATGCTGAAGATACTATAGAGCAAATAAATGCACTGATCAAAGAAAACAGCAAATCCAACAAATACTTAACACAAAATATCCACCAAATTAGGGATACCATGAGAAGACCAAACCTAAAAATAATAGGGATAGAAGAATTACAGCTTAAAAGCCCAGAAAATATATCCAACAAAATTATAGAAGAAAACTTTCCCAACATGAAGAAGGATATTCCTATGAAAGTACAAGAAGCATACAGAACATTGAATAGACTGGATAAAACAAAAATCTCCTCGCCATATAATAATCAAAACACAAAATATACAGGATGAAGAAAGTATATTAAGAGCTTCAATGGAAAAAGTTCAAGTAACATATAAATGTAAACATAAGAATTAAACCTGACTTCTCTATGGAAATCATGAAAGCCAGAACTTCTTGGATAGATGTGCTGCAGAAACTAAGAGACCATGGATGCAAGCTCAGACTACTATACCCAGGTAAGCTTTCATTCACCATCGATGGAAAAAACAAGATATTCCAGGAAAAATTCAAATTTAAGCAATACATAGCCAAAAACCAAGCCTTACAGAAAGTACTACAAGGAAATTGACAACCCAAGGAAACCAACAACTCCCACAATAACTCAGATATCTAACAAGCCTCCACCAGCACAACTCAAAGAAGGGAAACACACAAACTCTACCACCACCAAAAAATAAAAAAATAACCAGAATTAACAACCACTGGTAATTAATATCACTTAATATCAATGGTCTCAGTTCACCTACACAAAGGCACAGGTTAAGAGAATGGATATGAAAAGAGGATCCAACCTTCTGCTGTAGTAAAAGGAGCGGTGGGGCTACGTCCCCAGCATCCCGGCCGCCTGGCTAGCTTATGCCCCGAAATAACAACACACAAACTGTATTCATTTAAACACTGCTTGGCCCATTTCTATCTAGCCTCTTCTAGGCTAATTCTCACACCTGGACTAGCCCATTTCTTATAATCTGCTGTAGCCCACAAGGTGGCTTACCAGGGAGATTCTAGCCTACGTCCATCCTGGGTCAGAGCTTCATCACGTATGCCCCCGAGAGCTGAGCTATGGCATATCTCTGGGAGAGGGGAGCATGCCGTCTCTGCTCCAGAGAGCAGCTGTCGAGTCTGAGCTCACTTCCTCCCAGCATTCTGTTCTGTTTACTCCTCCCACCTATGTTTTAACCTATGAGGGCCAAGCAGTTTCTTTTTGCTTAACCAATGAAATCAACAGATTGATATATGACACTCCCACATCATTCTGCTGTTTACAGAAACACACCTCAACCACAAAAACAGATGTTACCTCAGAATAAAGAATTGGGAAAAGATTTTTTTAATCAACTGGACCTAAGAAACAAGTGGGTATGGCTATACTAATATCTTACAAAAATGACTTCAAACTTAAATCAATCAGAAGAGATGGAGATGGACACTTTATATTCATAACAGGAACAATTTATCAGGATGAAGACTCAATCCTGAATATCTATTCTCCTAATATAAAAGCAACCACTTATGTGAAAGAAATATTACTAGAAATCAAAGCACACATCAAACCCCACACATTAACAGTAGGAGACTTCAACACTCCTCTTTCACCAATGGATAGGTCAATCAGACAGAATCCTAAAAGAGAAATAAGACAACTAATGGAGGTAATGAATCAAATGGACTTAACAGACATCTATAGAACATTCCAACCAAATAGGAAAGAATATACCTTCTTCTCATCATCTCATGGAACCTTCTCAAAAATTGGTCACATACTCAGTAACAAAGCAAACTTCCACAGATACAAAAAGAATTTAGTAACCCCTGTGTCTTATCAGATCACCATGGAATAAAGTTAGAATTTAACAACAATTATACCCCCAGAAAGCACAGAGCCTCATGGAAACTGGACAGTCAACTACTGAACCACTCCTGGGTCAGGGAAGAAATAAAGAAAGAAATTAAAGTCTTCCATGAATTCAACAAAATTAAAGACCCAAC